CCCCCCCCCCCCGCATCATACCACCTACTGTACGTCTTGATAGCAACTGTGCGTTACGCGGGTGTCATCGTTGGCGTGGTCGTCGCCAGTTTGGTTGCTTGGCGGCTAGACACCGGCTTTTCGTTCCGTCCATGCTTTTTGGTGAGACGGACGTGTCATTGCGGTATCATTCATGGGTACCCGTTCGTTTGGTGCCCCGTTTTCCCGTTCCGTGTGTGGCCCTTGATGTGTCCTTTCGGCCCATGGCTCGATCCGTGTGGTTCCCTCGAGATGAGGGTCGGCGCGATCGGTGGCTTGGGTGGGCTCTTTGCGGAGGGATCGATCGATCGATCCAGGCGTTCGTGTGGAAGAACGAATTCCCACAGCAGTCTCGTCATGTACATATTCTTTCAAGCCTCTTGTCTCCCCATACCTGTCGGTTCGTCGGCGCCTGTCTTCCATCTTTTCAACTCCTTCTCTTCTATGCCGTTCGCTTAAACTTGTTTCTGTATCTGTATGTCTTTCTGTCTTTGTCGTTCTGTCTCTGTCCGTCTTTCTGTCTCTGTGTCTGTTTCTGCCTCTGCACCCCCCCCCCCCCCCCCCCCCCCCCNCCCCCCTCCCCGGCTCCCTCTCTCTTCCAGGAGCCCTAGCTTGATGTCGGCCTCCTTCTCTATGAGGGAAACCCTCGAGGGTGGAAACTTCACGTGGACCAGCGCAGGGCCCACCGCCGACGGCGACATAGGTAAGTTTATTACCCAATCGGCAATCAGGACACAGACAACAAGCGTGCCAGCCCTTCTTGTTGTTGTTGTTGATGGAGTACATGTTCGTGCAGCCGTTCGTCTTTTTCTTTCCAGCAGGTTTGCCCTTGGACCTACCTGTTCGGAGCAGGAAACGCCGCTTCACCTGACAAGAAATGTGCACGAATACTGTACTGCGTGGTTATGATATGGCCTTTCAACCTTCAGCAAAGGGTCCCCCCTCCCCAACATCTGTCGAAGACGATTCAATCCCGCTTTTTCGCGTGTGTTGTTTCTTCCTCAACTTGTTTTTTCAACAAAGCCTTTTTTCTTTTGTATTTTCTGATCACCAAACCCTACGTATTTCCATTTTTTTTTTTGTGCTTGTGGTCATCACCAGTGCCGTGGCAGGCGTGAGCGTGATGGCCTCTCACTTTTTTCAATCAGTGTATTTCTGTTGAATATATGCATGCATATTTTGTTTTTCTGATCATCACCACCGTCCGTGAGCAGGGGTGAGCGTGATGGCCTCTCACTTTTTTCAATCAGTGTATTTCTGTTGAATATATGCATGCATATTTTGTTTTTCTGATCATCACCACCGTCCGTGAGCAGGGGTGAGCGTGATGGCCTCTCACTTTTTTCAAGCAGTGTACTTCTGTTGAATATATGCATGCATATTTTTGTTTTTCTGATCACCACCGTCCGTGAGCAGGCGTGAGCCTGATGGCCTCTCACTTTTTCAATCAGTGTATTTCTGTTGAACATATGCATGCATATTTTGTTTTTCTGATCATCACCACCGTCCGTGAGCAGGCGTGAGCTTGATGGCCTCTCACCTTTTCATTTTGTGTATTTTTCTCTATTTAGAGTATTTTTGTTCTTCTGATCACCACCACCGTCCATGAGCAGGCGTGAGCGTGATGGCTCCCGGAGGCGCCATCTCCCCCGTACCCAACTGGACTCTGCAGAAGAAGCAGCTCATGATGGGAACCAGCATGGCCAGCCCCAACTGCGCCGGCGTGGTGTCGCTGTTGCTCTCGGGCATGAAGCAGAAGTTTCCGGGCAAGAAATTCAGCGTGCACAGGTGCGAAGCGCGATAGTTTCATCATGGGTGTGTTTGCTGTTTAACGGTGAAGTTGATGGGTTATGAATGTGTGGACCCGGGCTACTGTAGTGTACTGGAAGAGCTGCGTTTTTCGCTTGTGGGTACATGTGAACCATGATGTGACGATGTCTCTTGTGTGTTTCATTTTTTGTTTTATTTTTTTTCTTGCTTTGCCTGACGTGTATCTGTTCTGCGCACCTCGCTGCTATGCGGGATGGGCAGTAACAAGAAGTCTCTCCTTGCTGCCGCGCGTTTCTCGGCCGAGCAACTGTCAGGGTACGAAGAGCGCTGGAGAACACGGCGAAGCGCCTGCCGGGGTTGGAGACCCTCGTGCAGGGCCAGGGGCTGGTCCAGGTGTCGGCCGCGTTCGAGTACCTGTCCAAGCACGCCCTCGACGACAGCGAGGACGTGGAGTACAAGGTGTGTGCGTGTGTGTGAGAGAGAGAGGGGCAGAGAGAGACAGTACAACGCGTGTGATGAGATATGGGAAGTGAACGACTGCGTGAGCTGTGCGCGAGATAGAAACGACGAAACACACGGACATTTTTTTCAAGTGTCATCAGTTGAAAGGCTTGCGAAATAAAAAAGGGTGCCGGTGTTTTACCGCCTTCCTCCTGTGTGGCCCCGGCTGATGTCACATCACACGCCAAGTGCATGGTGGGTTGTGTCATGAGTCCCCCTCTGTGTTCTGGTCTGACTCTTGGGATGGGAAACCAGGTGACGGTGTCCGGTGGGAAGCGCGGCGTGTACCTAAGGCAGCTGGATGAGGTGACAAGGAAGACCCAGTGGGCCGTGACGGTCAAGCCCGTGCTACACGAAGACGACCACAACGACAAGAGGGTGAGGGGTCCCTCTCCTCTCCCGGATGATGCCGCTGCTGCTGTGGTTGTTGTCGTCGTCGTCGCCATTGTTGTTGTTGTTGTTGTTGTTGTTGTTGTTGTTGTTGTTGTTGTTTGGCACCCACTGCCTGTCGCATAGCGCACCTACACCGAAGAGCGAGGGCTAGATATGGGACCGCCTGCCCTCGTTCTCGCCACGGTGTAGCGAGCACGACTGCTTTTGCCTGCCGTCATCGCATTGACTGTTGCTGGAATCGGCCTACTTTGACTCGAGTGTTGCGGTGCTGCAGGGCGGTAGTATACTCGGCTTTCGACGATATAGCGTGTCTGTATTACGGCTAGCGACACAGGGGCCAGATAGGCAGGTAACACTTGAGCCACAAACCAAACCAGCAACACCACATGCACCACAGCTACAGACGGATTTCGAGATATGCATACAGCTTGCAACAAGGGCACAGGGATGCTCTGAGCCACAGTCACCACCACCCCACCCAACACTACCACCGCGGCAACCAAAGACGGGTTTCGAGATGAGGCTCCGGCTTTCTTGCAACGGAGAATGGGTGGAGTGCTCGTCGGACCTGGAGCTGCTGCACAACGGCCGCGCCTTCGTGATCGCCGTGGATCCTACCAAGCTCGCCCCGGGCCTCCATTTCACGTGCATTGAAGGTGCCGCATGCATGCATGAACCCTCACTATCTTGTTCTTGTAGTTTATTGTCAATGTCTCTTTGGTTTTACGTCCACCACCCGTTCATGAAGGTGGTTTTTGCAAACATAGGCCCTCACTTCTAGTATTAATAAGCATACGTTTGCATTCACTTCTTTGGTTGCAGCTTATCACCTTCTCGTTTTCATGTCGTCTGCACGTGCGTTGAGGGTGCCATATTTCATCAGCACTCCCCCCTTCGTTTTGCAGTTGATTATCCTCTTGTTCTTGACGGATGCGTCATTTGCTGCGTATCTTTCGTACGGAGAAACTTGATCGCATCGCATGCCCCAGTTGCACCTCCGTCGAACGAGCCTTAAAACCTGGTGCTGCCTCGTGTGTATTTTCTCCAGCACCTGCTAGTGCTCGCTTGATTTTCTGTCCTACCGTAAAGGTACCCCACGCAATCCTTGGCTTGTCTCAACTTGGGTGTACCTTTTTGCTAGCACTAGAGCCACCCGCCCCCACGTTTAGATGAAAGCTCTCGTGTTGGGCTTGTTCCCACCCGCTCGTTCTTTGCGTGCGCGACGGCGCAGCTGCACCCAGGCCTTGCGCCACAAGCCCATAGGCGACTATTATAGGCTAAGTTTCCGGCTACCGCTGCGCAGAGCGGCCGGCTTCTTCTCGCTGCCACGTACGGTCGGGGTCTCTTTTCAACAAGCAGACCATCCCATCATATGCCCCCCCCTCCCATCCTCTGCTCTTTGTTTTTTCCCCGCCGTTTGTATCCAGGCTATGATGTGGCTTCCCCCGGGAAGGGCCCCATGTTCCGTGTGCCGTTGACGGCTCTCATCCCCACCAAGCCGGAGTACCTGACAGTCCCGAAGGGGGGGTTGACGGCGCAGCTCGTCGGCCCGGGGGACGACGGTGCTGCGTACGGACCGGGCAAGGTGAGCGGGCGGTTGTCGTGTGGTTATTGATGAAACTGCGGCCACTATTAATAGCTGCTGTTATTGACGTTGTTGTTGTTGTTGTTGTTGTTGTTGTTGTTGTTGTTGTTGTCGGCTTCGTCGTTGCTGCTGGACTGCTTCTGCTGCCATACTGTTATCGCTGGTGGTGCTGCTGCTGGTTGCTGTTGCTGCTGTTGTTTTCGATCCATTTGTGACGCTCGTTAACAACGGCGGCCGCATCTCGCCTTGCTGCCGTTGTCATTTGTCATTCTAATTCCTCTTGTAGTTGCTGTTTCTGTGTTTGCGATTCACTCGAAATACCGTATACCCTCTTATCACAACAACAACAACAGCAACAGCCGCATCTCACTCTATGCCCCCTCGCCTCCTTGTTGTTCTTGGTTGGTTCTTGCCAAACATTCTGCTCTGGTCCGGAGAAAGGTGGTCCGCAGGTTCATCCACCCCCCCCACGGGGCCTCGTGGATGGACATCGAGGTGAAGGACTGCAGGGAAGCCGCCGAAGCACCGGACGGAACCAGGTAATATTGTACCTGGTACTTGTATTAACTAGGCCTCCCTACGTACGTTTGTTGTTTGTCGTGGCTATGTGTCAGAGCTTGTTTACGCGGTTCCTGATGACTGCGTCGCGTCGATTGCTACGCCAATCGGGCAGGCGAGTCTGGCAGTGGGCTGGGCTGCTGTGTTTGCTTTCTGGCTGGCGGGTAGCGGATGGGCCTTGCGCCTTGTAGACGGCGAGCACCATTCGAGGACCGGGAGGAATTTTTTTCATGTCATCTCTCGGTTCTTGTACCGTCGCCGAAACAGCCAAAGCATTGAGGCAAATGTGCGCCGGCAGGCATTGCGGCGAATCTTCGAGGCCAAAGCAAGCGGTTGCATATGCCTCGGTGGCACATGCACGCCGTGTTGAACGCCGTTTGTGTGTGCACTCTCAGGTGTCTTGCGACTTCCGTCTCTGTATGCCACACGTACACCTACCAGGCGATGGAGTTCCGGTTCACATTTCATTCTCAAACCTCTTGTTTCACGTGGAGCCGGGTGGTTTTTTCTCCCTGACCTCATGCCCACCCCTGCCTGCCACGGCGCTGTGTTTTTTTGTTCGTGATTCATTCCTCCTGCCCTTGGTTCTCTCCCAGGAGGATGATGGTCCTGCACTGCGTGCAGCTGCTGCCGCATACAACGCACAGAGATGCCGAGTGCCACAAGTACATGAACATGAACCCTGGGCAGAAAGAGGTACAGCAGTCTTGGACCCTCTACCTTGAGCGAGGGGTCCTATGAAGGGCGGCGGCAATCTCTTGGCACACGTGGAACATGTCTAGTCAAGATGTTTCCTAATACTATGAGTAGGGTGTCCGCTGGAGGTCGAGTGGATTAGCCCGGCACCCACGACTGCCGTGCGATATACCTTTCCTTTTCTAAGGTTGCGGTGCGATTGTTGGTCTCGGTGTTGCCGCGTGTTCGGCACAAGGTGCGCCTGGTCGTTTTTCGGTTCTGTAAACAGCGTCTACCTTGTACGGCTGTGCGCGTGTGGCGGCGCGTTTTGTACCGCGACGCTGACAGTATTTACAGCACCGTTGTCGCCAACGTAACAACCACGGCCAGCACTAAATATAAATAGTACCCCCCCCCCCCTCCCGAGTGTATGGCAACCGAAGTATTCGCCGCCCGTTTGTTTCCGAGGCGGTGTAGATAACAGAGAGTATTCTGCCAACCAAATTCGGAGGATTTATCCATAGATCCAAATTCAACCAACACCCGACACCACCAACTCACCAACCGAAGCCACCAATCGGAGATCAGGGGCAGCGCGGCGACGGCCAGATTTTTTTGGTAGAATTGACACAATTGCGACCGATCGAGAGTCAATGCCCGCCACCTCCTTTTTCGATTTCTGCATCCCGAAGAACTGGAAAATTAGAAATATTCCGAAAACAAGTAATGATTTGTTTCCACTCCCGTTTGCTCCGCATCCCCCTGAATGGGGTTTGAGAAATGGTTCTGTATGGTGTTTGATTATGCGACCAGGTGCACTCGATGAGGCTGGAGCCCTGTGCGGGAGTGGAGGTAAGCCTCGCTCAAAACTGGAGTGCCATCGGGCCGACTTCGGCCGAGGTCAGCGTCACCTTCCGAGGCGTTTCTCCTTCGCCGGGTGAGTTGGTGTTTGTCACAAGAGGCTATTTTTTTTTTTTTTGTGAAATTTGAAGGAAGTAAAATAGCATACTGGAGAAGGCAAAAAGTTTGGCACCACACAGACACCGCATACCAGACCCTCTTGTTCATGTTTTCGAATTGTTGGTGTTGTCATGTCGAAGAACCGTGCCCATCTCGCTGGGTGAGCAACAATAGACTTGTGAGGCCTGAAGCCGATAACGACGATGCGGAAGAGCTTGGTACGGAAGAGACTATCCTGTTGTCGGTTTTTAGTGTTGGGTTTCGTCACCAGAGGAAACAAGCCGCGTTGGGTGTGCCCGAAATGACGGGTCTTGAAAGTGCTGTGGGACTCTCGAAAATTGATTGACGCCAGCACCAGCTCCGGTGTTCCGAATGCCGTTGCCAACCTCAACAGCGACTTGCGTCCCTATGGACTGGGTCGTTTCTTGCTTCCCGTCGCTATGCGCACATCGCAGTAAATCTCTGCACCAAATTATTGCCCACGGACAAGCACATCGAACGCCGTTTCCTGTCTGTATGGGAGCGTGGCTCTCCCGCCTTTTATTATGCACTCCAAGTTAAGGATGACAAGCAATCGAGCACGGTTGTTGTCGCGATGCGTGTCGGCGACGCCTTTGGCGGCTCATATGTGCCAGGACCCGTTTGGGTTGTGCGTAGATGTCGCTCCCCTCCGCGGCGCCCCTGCCAGCCTCTCTTGGGTCGCTAGCCTTATTTCCTCATGCCCCTCCTCGACGTCCCTTCCCTCCCCTCTCTGTTGATGAAACGTTGTGTGGGTGGAACGACGACGGATAACACAATCGCAAGCAACACGCACAACAACAACAACACGCTCTCTCTGACATCACGGTGCAGCTCTCTCCGAAACGAAACGCTGTGAAACGGCTGTCTTTTTACCGGCGGGCTTGCTGCCATTTTTTTTTTTTTTTTCGCGAAACAGATGTCATCCGGCTCCATGGGGGCTCTTCCCATGCACAGGTGCGGTTTGCAATCGCTGGGTGCAGTTTTCCATCACCTCTCCCTCTCCCCCGTTTTGTTTGTTGCGCCCAACATGCGCCGTAAATGCTGTTCAGAATCAACGTGCTGTACTATGACATTAAATAGCAGTGTGGAACGGGGCTGCTCATTTTGTTTCTTCGTCAACGATAATCAATCATTTTCGTAGCGCGAAGTTTGACAAAAAATAAACGAGTGAAGGAGGAAAACGAGATCTGCTGTCGTGCCTGCTCTACGTACCTATTCAAGTCCTTATCTCATCCTTATCGTTCGTCGACGTTGTGCAGCAAACGAACACCCCCTCTGTGCTTGCCATTTACGAATGCAGTTGTGCACACGGGTTCTCGCGGCGTGGTTAGTGAGAGGGGGCACATCAGCGGTTCGCGTTCTCAAAATATGCTACCCCTATGGCCTCTCGGTCTCTGTCGGCGGAATGTACGGACGAGCTTCGATCCAGCTGTCTCACACCGGTGTCTGGCATGTTTGGCGGTGGGATGTTTTTTTTTTTTTTTCCCAGGTGGTCGTGTCGGCGCCGCTGTCGATGCAGGAGCTCTTACCTTCGGCGTCCCTAAACAAGTGAGTAAAGAACGCGTTTGATGTGCCTACTCTGTACAACTACCCAGGCGACGTCGGATAGCCCGCGTGCGTAGATGTAACTTGACACCAGGCCCTGCCATTTCACTAATTTCATTGTATCTGCGACATGATCAAACCGGTATATCTTTGCCCACCAGAAGGGCAGCACCTTTCCAATTTTTTCACAGTACCCACGATTTTTTCAACCGTATCTGTCTGCGCTACAAGTGCCCTCTGACGCAGCGCCCTCCAGTAAGTGTGAATCTTCTCGCCGCTGGCTTCTGTGCGAGCATACCGCCAAGGGTCTGCTCTCCGCGTGTTGCGCTCTCTTGTTCCCCTGGCTTGTCGGGTGCTACTTTTTTGTTTGCATCGCTTGCCGATGTGAAAATGACGGATTCACGAAGCATGCAGATGGCCTCGTCACCTTCAGCCCGTTGTCTCATCACAGCAACCGCAATAGATCAAGTGCCACCTTGAAACGATCCGCCAGCCACCGTTTGCACCTTTAGTCACGTCACCCTCCCCGCACTCCCTCTGTCGAGTTTTCTTCTCCCCCTAACCCCACACGTGGTGCACGCTCGTCCCGCCACCATCTCTGCGCTCCGAGCGTGTGTCGAAGGGCAGCACCTCTGTCATGGAGGCGTGTGATGTGATACCCCCCTCACTTTTTTTTTCTCCC